GTGGGTTGACAAATGTGGCAATGGATGCACAAACAGTGGGTTGACAAATGTGGCAATGGATGCACAAACAGTGGGTTGACAAATGTGGCAATGGATGCACAAACAGTGGGTTGACAAATGTGGAAATAGATACACAAACAGTGGGTTGACAAATGTGAAAATAGATACACAAACAGTGGGTTGACAAATGTGGAAATAGATACACAAACAATGGGTTGACAAATGTGGCAATGGATACACAAACAGTAGGTTGACAAATGTAGTAATGATACACAAACAATAGGTTACAAATGTGGCAATGGATACACAAACAGTAAGTTGACAAATTGAATATATGCGTAAGACTAACGCAAAGGTTGCTGCAAGTTATTAGTTGAACTCTTGATAACCTCTGAAACACCCTCAGAACTCCTGGAACGCTTGCATTTATACGGTGTATATTACATGCGAAACAATAGTTTAAGGAATTACCCTAATTGTTATTCAATGTTATTTCATTTGTTTTCTTTTGGATAAGAATAGATTCTATTTAGCATCTTCATCGTAGTTGTATCTGTCTATGTATTATCTATGGTTTTAAAAATAAAATAATAACATCCACGACTAAAAACAAGTAGTCCAAAAAGTTTTTGAAAACTAATAATTTTCTGCTATTTTCTTACAGAAAGAATTATATTTGTACATCAGAAACACTCTAAGTGCAAATTGTCGCTGTTTTTTGTTAGTAAAAAGCTACAGATTGGTGTATCTTCATTTTGTCCACCGAGGGGAATCGAGCTCCGGATTTTTGCATCTAAGTCCGTAAATAAACTTACCGCTGACCCACCAAGGGACAAGTGTAATTGTAATTCACTACGTACCTGTTGTCCGATATCAAGTGGCGACACGAAACTATGTTTATGTAATATTTGGTTATAGTTCGAGTGGCGACAAGTAACTATGTTGGTGTAATATTTGCTTATAGCTCGAGTGGAAACACCGAACTATGTTTATGTAATATTTGGTTATAGTTCGAATGGCGACACGGAACAATGTTGGTGTAATATTTGGTTATAGCTCGAGTGGAAACACCGAACTATGTTTATGTAATATTTGGTTATAGTTCGAATGGCGACACGGAACAATGTTGGTGTAATATTTGCTTATAGCTTGAGTGGCGACACGGAACCATGTTGGTGTAATATTTGGTTGTAACTCAGGCTTACTGAAAGTATACTATTTTGTTATGAATATTGATGAATTACTGTAAACTACATCAACTGTAGCAGTAAAGTATATCTGACGACGAAAATAAACGCTAAACACTTCAATGACACAAAAATCTGCCATCTCTTACAGTAAAGCTCATTTGATGTTATGAACACTTTATGGTTTTAGTTGTATACCTAGCCTAAACGCGGCCTAAGTAATTTGCATCTACTGGTAATTGATGCAATTAAATTAACCTTCTTGTTACCCTGATATCAAAGAGATGTATATAGCTAACTCAGGTACCCTTTGTATCCAGCTTTTATTTTAATTGTACACTGAACTATTACAGAGAGTAAATAAAATATAGTTTTGTGACACATTTTAAAGCTTAACTGACAATGAGACGACACCCATGCCATGAAGAATCATTCAATAAGAGTACATATGATGTACACCCGTTGGTAATCAAAGGATTAATAACATCACGTCGAACTGTTGTCTTCCGTGCAATACTTATACAATTTGAAAATGTAATGTTTAAGGCGCGTTTCCCTCATATATGGCACCGTAGATACAATGATAAATATTATAAGGTAACTGCCTCTATCGCAGATAGATGAATATGTGGCTTCGTTATAGCCAAAGGCGAGTCGAGTTTAAATCAATATTCTTGTATGAATAGAATATAAATCCAAGCCAAACATGTTTGTACACAATGATCATATTCATTCTGAATTTTTACTACTTCGGTATAATTGAATATAAACTATAAAACTCGCCCTATTATTTATTCCACTATACAATATCACTCTAAACGTTGTTTATTGGCAATAAGAAAGAAAAATACACTAATACACGCGTAGAGTGAACCCCATTCTCAAAACCACCCAAACAATAGTACCTCGAACAATACGGCATCTATTCTTCTTAATCCAATCTATTTAATAGTCGGCAATAGCATAATTAAAGTCGAGGCACGAGCATGCGGCACGCGCTTGTCATTTACCTGGGCAAAGTACATATTAGGTCATAGAAGAGAAAGCCGCGTGTAGTTATCTGTCTTGCAACCAAAGCTTTTTAGCAGTAAATAGCAGTATGGTCATTTTACAACCATTTGACTGCAGGGGAAAGTAAGAAGAATAAAGAGGGAGGGTAAGCATCTGCCTGGCACTATTATGTATACATATATAAATATAGGGCTTGTTATTGTTGCTACGATCGTGAATGTACATTTGAGTGTTTAGTGTATCAGGAGAAAACATTTGTAGCTGTGTTGCGGTTGCGAGAAATCGCTTGAGAAGGATTTCCTGTTGGATTTGTTCTTTTTGAACCTGAGGGGGAGGTAAGGTGTTGTAGATCTTTTTGCTTCTATAAAAAACTTCAATTCCCCTCAAAATTTATACAGGGTTTCGGTTATATTGCAGAGATCTCTGCAATGAATTTATCAATAACTGAAGTGTAATTTATCAGCCTTCTTTGTTAAGATAACAGTGATGTTAACGTATAGCACACCATGCGATAACACCAGGTTTACTGGTGAACTACTGGTGTGAAACTTGCTACTCACATAGTCTATGGCCAGTCAGTATAATTCACATAAACTAGTTCCTATTAAGTCAATTGTTCTAAATCTATTGAAAGAGGTACTAAGTTATTTTAACGTTTTGTACTTAAGTTTTAAAATCCTTTTGTCAAGCATGTAGTTGTTCTTTTTTTTTTCTACGATTTATTTCTCCTAACACAAAAAGATTGCTAAAACATTCTATTTAAAGCCATTTTAGGCTTTACACACACACCCGTGTGTGCGTGCTAATACTGCAGGCCTAATTAAAGTTCATGCAATAGAATATCCTGGCAAAAGTCCTGTAGGCGTTCTACCATTTCGAATTACCGTAAACTTTTGTTTTATGATTTCGGTTGGGTGAATCGGTTGCATGATGAATGTGTTTTAGAAGGGTGCAAATCTGTCTTGGCATAGATATCCTCATTGGTCCCATATTCTAGAGAGTTCGCACAATGCGGTACTGAAACTTGAGACTCGGATGAACACTGGAAAAGAATTTGGCTGATCTACAGAATGTACGGTATATAAAATATCACTTACAGCTAGATCTATGTAAGTAATACGCTGTGCATGTCTTTTATATATACACCATGTTTTCAGGATGTTTTCTTTCCTTCATATGCTTTATATAATTAATTTCGTGACGAATCCTGATGAAGCTGGAAAATTCCAACTTTCCATGAAGGGAAAGTTAAGCCTCTTCGTACAGGAAAAAAACTAGATGTGAAACGTTAATTTGACTGAAATACATTACTGAAAATTATTTAGCGGGAATGTTCGTAATACGGCATAATAAAACAAAAATACTGGATACGTAGTTATATGGTTGTAGCTAAAGAGGTACTTACAGGTTTGTCGTTGCAGATCGAGCTTGTAATGTAAGTAACAACCAGATATACTTGTGATATATTCGATAGAACGTCTGTCTAAGCAATAAATGGAGACTGTGTGTTAACTAAAAAGTATGCAAATTGTGCCAGGTTTTATGCTGAGTTGATTTGCCTAATGTGTGACGACGATACTCATTTTGCTACACACTATGATGAAGGTGGCACTAATGAACATGAGTGCTAGTGATATATATATATACACACCCACACGACGCTCTTGTGCGTGTTAACCTATCATTAGCTGAAAGCTAGGCGGAAAGTAAAGTGTTAACAAAAATCTATTATACATGATCATACACAATGACTAACGTACACAGAAAACAAATTAAGGGTATAATCTAATGCACGCTTTAAATAGTAAGTACAAGTTTTACACGTAGCGCTAAATGCAGTCGAATTACTCAGTAATTACCTATCTGTACTTACTAATTCTTCCTGGCGTAAAATTGGCGAATCCAATATTATACATTAAATTATTGAAACGTATTTTACTATGTGGAATTTCTCGAGGCTAAAAGCTAAACGAAAAAAGAATGAGGATATGAAGTACGAACCTAATTTGGCCAAGCGGAAGCGAACATCCAGAAGGTAGTTGTAGTAGGCCAAAGGAAAGAGATCCATCTGTAAAGGTTAACTCTACTGAGGAGGGTAGATAAGGGAGACGTCAAGAAATAATCGGGGTAAAAAAAAATAAACAAAGAAAAAACATAGAGAAATACTTGTCAGCTATAAAGATCTCTTTAAAAAGGGGGGTCAGGTGATAGGTTCAAGGAAATTAGGTGTTAGAAATAAAAGCTACACTACTTGTACGTCGTTATTTAACTGGAGACAATCAGCCTGATAGGGTAGAAAGCTGTAACCTGGTTAGATAGCGGCACCGGTCAACGAAGTGATGAAGTTTCTGCTCACGCGACGCGCCTCTCTATCGCTTTAATACGTGTCTGAAGGCCAGGAGGTTCAGCCTCTGTCAGTCGCCCATTTCTTGCGAATGAAAGCTCGCTCGCCATAATCGAGTTAGATGGTGAAAAGTGCACTTGTAACAGCCCAGAACGGACACAAACAGAGCGAGGCTGCAAGAAAAACTCCTGCGCGTCCGTTAACACCGGTATATCATGAGGACCGCCACTGAGAAGAAAATGTAACGGCAGGAAGTATCATTTCCCTTCCATGCACATTTCAATTCGTAAAACAATCTCGGCAATATATTTGTCTTGTTATTATTATTATTGGAATTGAAACGCAAGGCTTTAAGAACTATTGTCGCAGCGCCGACAGGATAGCCCTACAGGATATAATGACCTGTGACCTACAGTGACCCGTGTGGCTATCCTGCAAGAACAAGTACTTACTCTTACATGAATAATATTCCATCATACTGGCGTTGTAACGGTAGGCTGTCGTAAGGTCCATGGCCGGGGTCTCGTGGCGGGGCAGGCCAAGCCTTGCCACCCCAGGCACGGAAACTGTCGGAGGAAGGATGATGAGGCCGTCGGAAAAGTCGCAGTGAGTCGTACCAAAAACACGCTTATTAACACGGGGGAGAGAGAGAGTGAACGTTTACTTAAGAAGATGTAGTTAAAAGATAATATTATGAACACTAACTCTGTGGGTTTTGAAAAGGAGTCGCTCAGATGTCGACCATGCCACAAGCCCCGCCGATATTTCTGCCACACACACGGGCGGTCATAATTGAAGCTAACTAATAGAATCGGACCAATCCGAGCACGCGCCACCACATACAGTTTGAAAAAGTCAATCGTGGAGTCATTTGGTCACAAGGGAAACGTTGCGTGTTGCTGATTGCAAGCTTGAGATCATGTGACTCGTGACGCCAACTGAGAGCATATCTGTTGTGGTAAGGTCGGGAATAAGTACTCATCTACCGATTCATTGGTTCAACATCATGACTAGAAATTCTTCTCCCGCCTTCTGTACCCGAGAAACATTTAATCTACGCAGAAAAATGAAAGAGTAATATAGCTAAAAAGTACAGTTTTACATTATGATCCTCGCTTACAAGTTTCTAGTCACAAATGATCAACGAAGTGCGACTTATTTCAAAGAATTTCAAAAGTGAAAAAAAAAAAATTGTTTGATCGTGTTTTTCAGCTGATATCTACGAACACGGTATTTTTTTTTTTTTCGGAGTATACAATAATAACTTTTACAAAATAAGATGAGAGTCAAACCCACTTAACTTGGGTCACCGGCCTGTAACCATTATTATTTTAAGCAATTATGTGTAATTTCACCAATGATAGTACAGGTTGGACGGAAATAAAGGTCTTCGATTTTAAATAATTAAATTCATTCAGAGAAGGAGGCTTATGAAAACAGTTATAGTCATGAAGGTTTTAAAAAACTGGAATTTTTGCATATGTAATTATCTTATCGAAGTTTCTTGTGAATAATCGTACTTAGTTTTTCATCTTTAGACATAATAATAGTTTTCACGTTTGAACTTAGATTATTGTGATTACTGTTAGAGTATGTTTACATATCAAGAATACTATTGTATGCCATGTTATTATTGTTAGATTATGTGTGTCTTACAAGAATACACCGATAAGGTTTCCGTAACTCCCTTTCTTTCACACACACTGCATATATAACGCTTCAATCAACTAGATGTGTTGAAGAGTTAACAGTGTAATGGAAATTTAATATGTGCTCAATCTATTCGTATTGAAAGAGGGAATACGTAGGTTAACACCAGAACTGGTAAACTGAGGTGATACTCCTTCTTAAATGTTTCCGATAGTATAAATAAAAGACGAAAACAGATTATTTTACAATGTTTAAAAAAGTTTCAGAACATTGATAGGCACAAGAATGTAATCGCTAAAGTTCTTTATTGTACAAGTCTGGAATGGCCTGGTGATTAGGACTTTCGACTCCCAATTTGAGGATCCAAATCCAGTCCTCGAACTTTCTCGCCCTTTCAGCCGGTGGGGCCAATCCTACTATTCGTTAGTAGAAGAGTAGTCTAAGAGTTGGCGGTGGGTATTGTTGACTAGCTAACTTCCCTCTAATTTATCTTTTTAATATTAGAGGTTAGCACATATATAGCCTTCGAGTAATGTTTCACGAAATTCAAAACAACCAAACCAAATCATAAAGAAAAAATAACTGTTCTTTTTCTTCTTTTTAGCATTTGTCCCAGTTTCTAGGGGTCTGCTTTTCTGGTACTCATCCTCCATTCCTTCCTATTCTGCATCAGAGCTACATTAACACGTGTATTTACTCATGCCCTTTCTTACTATATCCATCCACCTTTCTTTTGGTCTTTCACTTGTCATTTTTCCTTCCACTGTCATATTTATCACTTTTTCCACATGACCGAGCCATCTAAGGCGAGTTTCTCTCATCTTCTCTTGTATTTGGTACTACTTTCAACTATTGAACAACTTTATTATTTAGAGAAAATACTGCTATGTCATCACCACAATACAATTATCAAAGAAGAATGTCCCTCACTAGCTTGTGCAGCAATAGTTTTAGCAATACACGAGAAGAAAGTGTAATGAAATGTATTAGAAAATAAGTATTGAAAAACACGCTAACTTGGGTGTTTACATTTTATTTGACGATCAAGAATTTTAACTTGGGGTTCGATAAAAAATTAAAATATCGGATCAACTGTGTTTTTTATCAATTTTCTATAAATATATATATTTGTCTATCTATATTTATGCGTGTGTTTCTCTTATTTTATTTTGTGTCTTTATGTAGATCAGTCTGCCAATTTAACGGAATATTGATCTTTATACGTTTAAAATACAAAACAAAAATAAACTGATTCTATCTTCGAAAAAACAACAAAATATTTTACATTAATCGATGGGAAAATTTTAAAATGGGTAGTTTCATCTTTTTTTTTTAATTTGGAATTATCCCTACTCAGATGGTAAGATTATTCATTAGGTTTCACCTTGAAGTTCGTTTTTCCATAGCTCTTTATTTTAATGTCGGATTTTTATAAAGCTCAAATTGATCACCATGTTCCAGATATCTAATCGTCGAAGCATGGATGAGCGCATCTTGAGGCCAGAGCTTTTTATATTTTTTTGTTATTTCTTATATGCAGATAAACTTTCGCTGGTAAATTGTTTCTGGATTTCGACCCTCTCGCTTCCAGGAAGTTGTATCCAACTATTCTGAGCTGAGTAATTCTGTATCAGTTCTTGACTGACAGCTAAAACTTCATCACTTTTCCAATTCGCCAAGCATTACGAGAAGGAATCAACGGTGCCAACACGGCTTTGACGCAAACAATAAGAGAACAAAACTCAATTCTTTAGATAACTTTTTCTTTTTTAGAGGAGAATTCGTAGTTTCTCTTCCGTAACAGCACCCACACCCTGAGGTGTTAGCTCGGAGATTGTGTGCACATAGAGCACACGGGACTCGGACACGCATGCCCTGCCGCTCGCAGCTGGAAGCATTACACGGCCCAACGGCCCGTGACTCCACAGGCAGTACCTCTGAGCCTTCGTCAATACAGCAAAGTGTTGGGAATTTTACTGTCAGTCTCTTTGGACTTAGCTCTTTATCACTATAGTTTTTGTGCTCCTAATCCACGGTTACATTTATTTTCACAAAATCGTTTAGATTAACTTTAGCGACGGAATCTATTATCTCACCTGTTTCTCTTTCCAAGCCTTGAATGATATATAAATAGAGTAAAATATTACATTTTGTACCAAAGTATATTGTTTAAGATTGAGTGAAATAATACATTTTGTACTAAAGTAAATTGTTTAAAATTGTCTAAATGTCACACGTGAAAAGACCAAAATTCTTCATCGAGTGTACCCAGTAAGTAAAGTTTTAACATGTTTACACTTAGTGGTTGAGTTAGGCATTTAACCAACTTTATGATGCTTATGGAAAAGTCTTTTGATTTTCTACAGCTATCTATTTACATGTTTGTATATCTGTTTATTATGATATTTAATTTCAATAACCGGCAATTATTCAAGCTACGTTAATCTTTAATTCTGTTGGTAAGTCAACTGAAATAGCAAAAATCACTATTTGATTGAAACAGACAGCGTTTGCTTCTTGTCATTTAATAGGTCTAAAAATTGGTGAATGGCAACCATTATTTGAACATGAAAATGGTTACAGAAGCTCCACATATAAACTCAGTTTCGTGTAGTATAAAATATTTATTGAAGTTAAAGCGGTGTTGTTCACGATTTATCTTGCTTCACAAAAAACAAAAACCTTCGAATATGGTTGCTATTAACTCAGAAAATTTATCATGTTGTGTACTAAAACTTTTTTTTTTCCGTCTTGCAGCATTTTAGCATATTTTGATTACTGAAAGAGTTTTGTTGGGTTGACGAGTTCTATGTCGTGATAAGTCTAATTACAGGAAGAGAAAATATGTACCACAAGCTCCAGGAGAGAAGAAACGGTTTCTTAGAGGTGCTTCATTAATGTATATGGACTAATGTTTAAGGGAGTAATGACATAGTTTTTTAAAGCAAATCCTAGAAGTGATGAATGTAGGCTTAAGAACTCGGCGTGACGACGCACTACTGAGATAAGATTCTTTCAGCCCACATACCGTTTTGACTTTGTTACAGTTTCAGAAAAGCCGCTATAAAGTTGGTTGAGTCAGTGGGCCTTCTCCTACTCTTCATAATTAGCCAGTACTTGAGTGAAATGCAATTGCTCACAATTAGACTATCTACTACAAATGTGGTAATATTTGCTCTGTCCTATGAACATTAGGAATAGGTATATACGTTGATATTAAGTACGTCTCTAAAATCTTATGTATTTAGATCAACTTTTTCAGAGATATTTCGTGGAATGCTGAAAATTTTGCAGATTGTTAAAAAAATACAGAGTAAGCGCCATTTAATCGTAAAACATGTAAGACGTAGAGAAAAGAGTGAATTTAAATTAGATATCGACTTATTTCCCATACAAAAATGTAAAATGTGTTACGTTATTAAAAGTTATGTGATACTGGAAAATGTGGTTTTCATTGGAAGGCAGAGGAGCGTTTGTAATTTCTGTTGATGTCAATACCTGAAAAATATGAGCTGGATTGATGAAAACTATTTCAAAAAGTTCTTTAGGTAACGAAAAAGAACATTTCACAGGCTCGTTGAAAGTGGTCATTTATAAACTATGCTATGTCTCTGTAGGTTTTTACTTTAAAAGTACTTCAAGTGCTCATTTCTAAACTAAACTATGTCCCTATAAGTTTATAAAAGTACTTCAAGTGCCCATTTCTAAACTAAGCTATGTCCTTGTAAATACTATAAAAGTATGTCAAAAAGCATAAATTACTGGGTGTACACAGTTATCAATTAGGATAATTTGGCATATCTTCTACGCCGTTACCAAGCCAAAGGATAATTTCTCTGAAGCTGTATCATATTCCAATCTCCGTATATTTCTAGGTTGATCCGTTCTATCCGTCCAATGTACTTCCTGACCTTTTGAACTTTAAGGCAACAAGTTAGACTCAAGTGGCTATCATAATTCTAAGTTTTTCAAAAAGCTCAAGTAACAAAACGCTCTAAAGGCTTTGACGGCCACAAGACTGTGATTTGTAAAGACCGATTGAATTGTAATGAATGGCTCTGTTGAAGCCATTGAAAAGTGAAAACAGCTGAAGGGGTGACCTATCAATAAGAGAATCTTGAAAATTTAAATACATGCGTATCAGCACAGCTGCAACTGTAATAGTGATAAGCCAATGTTTGGAAACAATTCTGTTACTTTAAGCAAACTATAAAACTATCCTAATAATTCTAAATATTATTTTCCGTGAATCCTAGATTTAATTACACGGTCCCTCGGTGCCTTCTGTTTAATGTACAAAACGTCGCTAGAGGGAGAAAAAGCCTATGTTACTGAATAACAGAAGTTTGGTTATAAATCAAATACAACCGCATACTTGTGACTAGG